AAAACTTCCCCCCAAAAGAGTAGATTATTAATTGAAATTATTTTATCATACTCTGTTAATGAGAATTTGAACTTAAGATTGGGTTTCTTGCTGTATAGTGTTTCATTTATAATTGCTTGTGGTTATTTTAATTCACTAACAAATACCAATGAAGCTAAATGATTGGTAATAAAATAAAGCTAACAAAAAAAATGGAGTTATTTGTGCCCCTATTGTTACGGTGAAGATTAAGTCGTAACAATGGGTCAATAAAAGATGAGGTAAACTATAGAATTCACGAGGAAAAAAAAGTGGGTAGCATACTGAGGCATCTCTCTAGACAAGGAACCTTATGCATGGAGTAAAAAAAAATTACAGAGTATAGTCGTACCAGCACCGTTGTATGGATGTGAAGCATCAGTTTTAAATGTTGCAGTAAGGAAGAGTCTGGAGGCAGTAGAGATGTCGTTGTCTGAGGGCAATGTGTGGGGTAAATATTGTGCAAAGAATTCGGAGTCTGGAGATTAAGAAGAGGTATGGAGTTACCAAAAGTATTATCCAGAGGACTAAAGAGCAGTTGTTGAGGTGGTATGGACATTTAGAGAGACAGGAAAATAGGATAACTTGGAGAGTGTATAAATCTGGGGCGGAAGGAAAACAGGTAGGGGTCCTTCCTAGGAAATATTGGAGTGAGAAGGTATAGGAGCTTTTGAGTGCGAGAGACTTGGACATCCAACAGGCTTTTCTGCGGGTTTTTAGATAGGAATGAGTGATTGGATGATTTAATGTCTGTTGGAGCGCAAACAATGTAATATTTATGAAAGGATTCAGGGGAAACTAAGTGACCAGACTGAGTCCCGAAGGTGAAAGTAGAATGCCTTCACTGTGAAGGTCGGGCGGGGATGTTATGGTTTAGAGGGCATCTTAACTGTGATTAAAGAATAAAGATTCTTTATTTTTTTCTCAGCATCATACAATGTTTGTACAGAGATGAGTGACATTTAGGTGTACATGCAGAAAGCCCTTAGTATGCTTTTGGCAAGACAGTAAGTAAATGAATGACAGTAAGAGTGTTCCTCCATTTAGGATCACCCTACCTCAGTGGGTGACGGCCTGTGTCTTAAAAAATGTGTGCGTGTGTGTGTGCGCGTGTGCGTGCGTGCAGATACTGCAGCTCAGATATCCCTCCAAAGTGCAGGCACTGTACTTCCCACTTTCAGGGCTCAAGTCCAGCTAATCGGTTTTTCTGAATTCCTTCATAAAATGTTACCCTGCTCACACTCCAACAGCTCGTCAAATCCAAAAAGCTCTTTGCCTCTACTCACTCCTATCTAACTCACACACGCCTGCTGGAGGTCCAAATCTCTCGCACACAAAACCTTTACCCCCTCCCTCCAACCTTAACTAGGGAGACCCCTACCCCGCTTTCCCTCCACTTCAGATTTATACACCGTCCAATCATCCTAATTTGCTCCAACCTTTCTGAATGTCCAAACCACCTTAACAACCCCTCCTCTGCCCTCTGGATGATTCATTTAGAAACCGTGCACCTCCTTCTAATATTCAAACTACGAATTCTCTGCATAATATTTACATCACACATTGCCCTCAAACACGACATCTCCACTGCCTCTAGCCTCCTTCTTGCTGCAACATTCACAGCCCATGCCTCACACCCATATAAGAGTATTGGTGCCACTATACTCTCGTACATTTTCCCTTTTTTGTCTCATGGATAACGTTCACTGTCTTATGGCATGTCCTTGTTTCATCACCCGAGCAGTATGTGTTAGAAGGGACTCCTTTGTGTCTGCCAGTGTGCCAGCAGAGGTTTAATTCTTCGGTCATTCTGACTGATTTCTTTAATTCCTCTGCAGAAGAGAAATGGTGCGAAAGGATCCCTTTGCTGAACAAACTTGAATGAAGTGATTTCACGCTCCCCAAATAGGAGCGTCGACTCCATACTGTATTGTTTCCAGCTGAAACGAAAGGGATGAGACGAGGGAAATGTCTGAACGGCTATTAATAACACGTCTATTGTAAACACACACATACACATAACATGCCGAGAGGAATTAACGAGGTGGATAGGGACAATGTTTCTGGGATGGGACACAACAACACGGGGTCACAACTTTAAGATGAAGGCTCAGATGAGTCACAGGGATGTTAGGAAGTATTTCTTCAGTCTTAGAGTTGCCAGGAAGTTGAACAATGTGGAGAGTAATGTAGTGGAGGCAGGATCCATACTTAGCTTTAAAAAGAGGTTCTATAAAACTCATGGAGAAGGGAGAGAGTGGACCTAGTAGCGACCAGCGAAGAGGCAGGGCAAGGAGCTGTGACTCAACCCCTGCAACTACAAATAGGTGAATACACACTCTCACCCTCTCCACCTCCATGCTTCAACTCCAATTCCTCAGATCAAGACCGCGAACACCCTCCTTAACCACACCAAGCTTATACCCTATCCATCACATCTCCATTTCCTTGGAACAAGATCCCACATCTATACCACGTCCAAGACCACTTGCTTTGATCAAGAGTCTATCTCCATCACATGGCAACCAAGGGTTATGTCTACTACTGTTACCATTGCTACTATTACTGCCAACAACATGGGCTAGTTGGTCTAGTGCAGAGCTTACACTTTTTTACCTCACTCTAATACCTACATATACCCTCTATGTTTTTATATTGTTTGTAACGGCTTGACAAAGCTCCTGGAGAGCGAAACGTTGCCACAATAAAATGTCACATTAGTTGCACTTGTGTCCTTTTACTTAACAATAAATGGTAACTATTCAGTCAAAGTGTTCCAATAATATACTCATTTAAAAGTTCTATTTTGTGATTGTTTTAAAAATGTTTTCTTTAATGTTAGATTAGGTTAGGAAATTTTCTCTCTACTTAACCTAAGCACGCCTATACATAAATATAACTATAAACTTGTTATGTAAGAGCTGAATATACTGGAAAGTCACGACTGAATACAGGCTGTTGATTGGTCAAGCGTACTGGTCGTATAACAGGTGGTTATTATTCATTTATATTACTAGAGAAAGCTATAGTTTCAATAACATTTTTAAGCACACATAGGTTGGTTGGGACTAATTGAATGAGGAAGTATATTGACTTGAGAATTAAATACTCATGATTTCTTAGTTTTCTATATTTAAATTAGTTGCAGGGACTACTGGTTGTATTTTGTCACGAGGACTTGTATTTTGGGGTTAAATTTATGAGAATGTATATTGTTAATAAACTAATTAATATATTATTAGTTATATTTTTTTTTTCAGATAACGTGGAACAGTTGGACATAACTTCGTTTACACTAGATACAACGTTACCAACGATGACAGTGAAAGTTTGTTTTACTGATACAGCAGACAGTGATTTGGGCAATTTGGATACAAGCTTAGTTACATTGACGTGTGGCAGTAGTGCAGATGATCCTAACCAAGTTATATTAGAGTGTACTGATACTGCTGCTGAAATTATACCTAACTATTGTAGTACACATAAATTTGCTAAACCATTTAATGCATATGAAAAGACCGTATATTGTTTACTCGACGCTACGGACAAAACTGTTGATGATTCACCACCACGAAGCGGTTCAGCTGAATTTGAAATACCAGGTAATAATATACATCGGAAACATTTAAATATTAATGTTTTACACTTGATGAGGCTTATGTTTTTTTGTTCATTTAAAATATTTCATATGGGAAAATACCAATTCAAATGCTAAAAAAGTCGGGTAATGAGCATACAGTATACAATTTTATGGGTGACAGACTGTTTTAAACAAACGGAAAAATAAAGTGCAGCAACAAGTTGGCCAGTTATAAAATCTAGTCACCGTCACTGACTTTCCAGGTATCTTGAAAGAACTGCTCTTTGTACGGGGATGCCTTGAAGACGAAACAAATTTTATCCAATAATTGGATCCATCCTCTTCCTTGGATCAAACCTGAATAAGCCCCACCCTTCCCTCCTGGATTCATCAGTAGGGATATATCCTCTAGTAAATTTTAGGGTAATCACTATGCAGCCATTTTCATTGTTGCTTCTGTGGGTTGTTAGTCTATTAGGTAGTCCTCCGGTAACACCAGGTAGCCATCTGGTAGCCTCTGGAATTTGACTGCGGATCCAGGAGTGGCAACTGGTCTATCGTACCGGCATTTGTATTCGTTCGCCTGCAGCTATTATTAGCTAAAAGATGCTCTCTAGGTAAACAGTTTTATTAAGCCTTCCTTAGTGTATTCTGGAGGTGCCATCCTGGTGTTCGCTGGTTACGGTATTCTTCTTGATTCGCCGGTACTGCCGACCTGGATCTCTGCCAGATGGCGACTCGACCTTGGCTCCCTATTGCGGGAGTGTCTGAGAGGTATATCTTCCATGGGAGGAGGTACACGTACTTCATCTTCTGGGACCAGATGTTCCAGGCCTAGCCCCAATCCTTGCCTTTTACGGGGCTCGAAGGGCGTGGCACCTACAAAGCAGCAGACGATGTCAGGAGGTGCAAAGGCAGCAAGCACTACAATATCCTTTTGGAACCACATCCCAGCTTTGGGCCGCAGCCCGAGCATTGGGGAAGCTCAGGGATGCCTCTTGCTGTGTGTGCTGACTGCTGCTGCTTCTTCACTCGTCCGTTGCACTCTGATACGGTATGAGGGAGTTCTTGTTTGTTAATTTTATTTAACAAACAATATATTTGTTTCAGTGGTGTTAACTAAGAATACTTTATGTCATTTCGAACTCTTAATAATGGTGTGTCCTACACAGAGGAAAATTCGCTTATTTGCCAATTTATAAAAATATGGGGTATCACATATAGCTTTCAGGAGCACTAAGAATACGTACATTTTTGTGTAATTAATTTTAGCCGATTAGGAAACAACATTTTTCTAAAATCTGCAGCGAATAAACATTAATTTGAATATTTAATGTTTTTACAAAGTCTTCTGACATAGACAAACCTGTGAGTTTCTTTAAGCTCAGTTTATTAGATTCTGTGATAATACTTGGAGACCGATAAATTAGATACATGTGCAACATTTGGATATCTTTATTGAGCAAACGTTTCGATGGACTGATTACATCGACTCCAGGCTGAGGGACTAATTACCTAAAACTCCTTCTGATCTTCACCATTTTCGTTTGTATTAGACTGATGAAGCCACTCTGTGGCGAAACGTTTCCTCAATAATGACACCCAAGTGTTATTATGTGTCTAATTTATTAACAAGACGTTCTCTGAAACCATTCCCTCCTCCTGAAACCAGTCTCCATCGCTTTCAGGGTCTTGTTAGTTATTTCATGAACAAGATCCTGCAGTACATTACTTAACGTCTGTTCCTGGTGTAGTCATTCCCTCTAAGAAGCAAGCGACGTTCTTGGAAATGACCCTTGATCGGGCTTTGACATGGCCCTCCAGTCTAAAGACGCTCAAAGGGGTTGTGGTTGTTCTGCAGGTGCTAAATAATTTTAACTTGCTCTTCCACTATTACATGGGAACTGGATTGTTGGATTATATTCTGCCTGTATAAAGTCTTATGCCATCCGGGAAAGGGTTTGGTTGCCAGATCTTCCTGGCCTTTTCTGCTGCGCCTAGTAGGTCTAGTCTAGGGGCCGGCAAACTACGGCCCGCGGGCCTCATGTCGTGCGCAGCAACTTCAAATATTTATAAATAGTAAAACCAATGAACCCTCATTGTAAGTCACTTCAGTCACTTATTCATTCATTTAAATTTTATTCATTTATTTATATTTATTTATTAGACTGATTTTTTTTCTTTGGCCCTCAAAAAATGTGTAAAATACATAATGTAGCATAGTAGTGAAAAAAGGTTGGAGCCTAGTCCATTCTCTGGGTATACTGCTTTGCAGTGGAACATTTCGTGCTTCCACTGTTGAGAGCCTTTATACCGAGGCTGGTGAGCTTTCCCTGATCTCTGCTGTGCAGGTCTGGATCTCCTTTATCTCTTTTAGGTTCGACAAACATCTGCCAACTCAGCAAAAGGAGAGCAAAAGCTCTTTTCCCATTGCACAATGTTTCACATGTCATTTTGTTTAGATGTGTGTTGCCTTCTTTGAATATGGCCTCAACATGTCTACTGGTAGAGAGACTGGGTTTTCTACCTGCCTTTCTAGGAGAGTGCTTGAGGTATGTCTTTGTAGTACGTGGCTTTAGACCCTGAAATTCCTTACTGGGCCATTTTCCTGGAGCGTGATTCGATTCATGCTTCAATTATTTAGGTCCTTTCCAGTGGGTGTGTGCTTTGAGCTGAGTGCTTTGTGTTCACTGTGGAGCTCCAAGCTATTTGCACTACTTATTCTGGTAAGTGGCTTAGGTTGTTCCCAGTTCACTACTTATTCCAATTCAGAGTGCACTCTGTCCGCCCTGGCACCGTATGCTATTACCCGCCCCATAGTCCAGAAGATCTGGGAATGGAATTATGCTAATGTCCGAGCCATGTCAAGGTCCCGAGAAATAAACGAGCTAGATGCTGAGGCAAAGGCTGCTGTTTCAAGCTAATCCTATAGCCAACTTTTGCCTTACGTTGACTTTATGGGCCACATACCAGTGGGTCCTGTAGACGAGAACAAATTATGTAGAGTTGGCAGGACGTGGTGTTCGGCCTTAATTCATCAGGAATTGTCACTTTGAGAACGCCTTATCACAGCGGTTCTCGACCTGGGGGTCCCCAAAGGTAGTATTGGGGAGTCCCTGAGCTTAGTTCAGAATTTAATGAGGCTAAAGTGTAAAATGTATAATCACTCACGTTAATTTTATATAAGTTCACCCTATAAATTCCCGTATTTTTAGTGGTCTTCATTAAGAGACAGGCAGTGCTGATGAACGACTCTTCTTGCATTCTCAAGTGCGCTGGCTGTCTCGCGGTAAAATACTTACCTACATATTTGAGTTGCGTGATGAAATACGATTATTTTTTTCAAGATAAAACATTCCATGGGAGCGAGTGGTTCAATAACTTTTCGTGGCAAACTATGATAAAACATATGTCTGACGTTTTTTACGTATTTGAATGGTCTGAATTTGAGCCTACAAGAGAGAGCTGTAACTATTTTTAAAGTTGAAGATAAAGTGGAAGCCATGATCATGAAATTAGACTTGTGGTAGAAACGTGTGCAGAATGGCGGTGTGTTTGAATCCTTTCCCACACTGACTTTCTTGCAGAATCTGACGACATCTCTGAAGAAATAAGAAACGTTTTCATTCAGCACTTGCAAGGCTTAAAGAACAGTTTTAGGGATTATTATCTTCTTCCTGATGCCACTAATAACTGAATTAGATATCCATTTCACGTAGATATAAAAAAAATGTAAAAGATTGAGCTGCAAATGAAGAAAATAGTCTTGTAAAACTTTCGTGTGACACCTCAGTGATACCTCACTGAGGTCAAGTTTCATTCAGTATAACTTTACAGACTTTTGGTTGCATGTGAAAAATGAGTAGCCAGAACTGTCATGCAAAGCACTGAGATATTTAATGTCATTGCCCGCTACATATTTATGCGAGCAGGCTTTTTCCCAGCTGTTTTATATAAAATCAACGTACAGAAACAGGATGAATGTGCAACCTGATCTACGCTTAAAACTGTCTACCATTGAATCAGACATTCAGAACATAGTGTCAACAAAGTAGCATCAACCATCTCATTAAACAGGTAAGTTTTTAATACTGCCAATTATTTAATTGCATACTCAGTTAAGTTATGTCTTTCAGTTGAGAGATGAAACTGGGTTTGTTGTTAGTTAATATAATTGGCTTGTTAAATAGGCAGACCTTTCAAAAACCTGGGGTCCCTGGGAAAATTAATTTAAATCTATAGGCATAGAATATCTGGAAAAAAGTAGTGAACTGCAATTTTGACCAGAAAAAAGCCGCGACCTCAGGACAAAAGGAGAATGCAACTCTTCTTCTTATAAAGTTCACTCTGAAGTGTTACTCTTCACTCCATGAAAAAACAATGTTACAACACATGCTGTCAGACGCACCATTTAAAAAGGGACAAGAAGATACAGATCAATCAGACCATGGGAAACAGAGTAGTTAAACCCGCTCCAGCGAAAGAGATTTTTTAGTGCCAGGAAAAAAAAATAACTGGCAAAAATGATAAATACTAACCAACCTCGGATCACTACTGAGTGGAGGCACAGTGACCTCCACTCCAGAACAATAGATATTAGTGCCAACATACCAAGCCTTTTTCCCTGGCGTACCAATTAATATGACAACATTTATCTTCGCAAATACACAGGGTTTAAAGCCATCAACAAACAACAAAATACCTTTCATCAGTAGAGTGCTCATAGAGTCAAATACAATGTTTATGGTTTTCACAGAGACCCACATAAAGAATCACTTTGACAACGAAATATGGATCCCAGGGTAAAACTTATTCAGACGTGACAGAATAAGCAAGCAACAAGAGGGGTTGGCCTGTATGTCAGAGTCGCTCATATGCTCGGAATTACTAAACACCACAAATAATATAGCTGAAGTTTTAGCAGTAAAGATTGAAAACCAAAACCTGGTCATTGTGGTTGTATACAAGCCTCCTAATGCAACTTCCCAACAATTCCAGGAACAGCTTTTGAAAATTGACCAC